TCCTCTCTCTCTCTCTCTCTCTCTCTCTCTCTCTTTGCTCTTTGGCTATTTGGATATGGAAATCATGGAATGAAAAAACAAAAAATTGAGTTCTTTTAATGGATGTTTAGTTGGAAACTTAGAACAGTGATCTTTTTTCTACTCAACTCACTCATCAATCTCACTCTTATCTTTTTTTTTCTTTCAATTTACTCCTTTAATTCAAATAATACATAATACTTGCATTCTTGTGTGGTTGTGAACCATATAAATTCTTGGTGTCAATGTATACAGCTCAACAATATTTCCTTGTTTGTGGTGTTTCTTTTATCAGCTCTGCTATATTTAAATGAAAGAAGCATTTACCATTACAGTACTATTAATTATGTTGCATTATTATCTCTCTCTCTCTCTCTCTCTCTCTCTCTCTCTCTCTCCTCTTTTCCATGTGTAAAATTTTTGTTCTTTGATGCCTTGTTTTGCTTCCATTCAAGTTTAATTTGAAAAATAACCTCATGAAAGAATGATATTAAAAAATTAGTGAGACTTTCTTTTTTTCTTTATTTGGCCCTAATTTTGAGATCATTAATCTGAAAAAAATTTGCACACTCATTTATATCTTATGTGCTCATAATCTGCCAACTTATCTCTCAACACTTGTCTTATTTATTTATGATAGGAAAGAAATAAATTCTTTGTCTTACAAATTTGTATGACAGATTGCCAATTTCATCCTCATTTTCTCAATCATTTCATGTAAGACTTTGTATTATATCTCTATAGCATAATAAATAATATATAAATAGATTTTGATCAATTTAAACTCAACATTTAATCATAGTTGTCATATAAATATATAAGAATACATTTCAAAATATTTTTATTTAGCAAACATTCTCTACATCACCTATATAATTTTTTTTAAGATATTCATCTTACTTATTAACAAATTAATTTTTAATAAAAATAAATGATGAAGATAAGATTTGAATTCAAAATATTATCAAAATGTTTACCAATTAAATTAATTAGTATCTTCATCTTATTATTTTGCCATACTAATTTAATGGAAATCACATAATTCAGTGTTTTCCAAACAAATTACAGCTCAGTAACCAACTTATCTATTTGTTCATTGAACTCTTAACAGCAAATTGATGCAAAAAATATATATCCTCAAACTGATGGCAACAAACAAACAATAAAAAGACAAAAATAGCCACATGCAGTTCCTAAACTTCTAAACTTAACCGCACTGATATCCGAGACATGACTGGCGAAGTAGTTCGGGACCCGCATGGGTCCCAATGAACAATCCAATCACCACGCGTGTAAGCGGTATGCATCGAAGGCAGCGAGTGGGAACGGATATTTTTGGAGCTCCTTGCGAACTCGTTGATGCCAATGTCGGCGATGTATTTATCGGAGGAAGATGGCAGTGGGGGGATAGGATTTCGAACACGAGGCCTCTCTCATCCGACCCGAACCGATCCGAGTCTCGCGACCTTGACGACGAGGAGTAGCGATACGGAGGAGGAGAGACGGGAGAGCGATGGCGAGGCGAGGGGAATCGGAGGATGAGTTCGATTACCTGTTCAAGGTGGTGTTGATTGGCGACTCCGGCGTCGGCAAATCCAACCTCCTCTACCGCTTCACTCGCAACCACTTCTCCCTCGACTCCAAGTCCACCATCGGCGTCGAATTCGCCACTCGCACCCTCCAGGTCGGATCCCTCCCCCCCTAATTTCGTCTACCAGCTTCTCAATGCGGTTCCTATTTGATCTCTCGCAGCATTTCGTGCTTCCCTCGTTTAATTCCTATGCGTTTCTTCGAGCCTAATCGAGTTTCCATACCAATGTCGATATAAAGATTGGTTCTTTATATGATTTTACTGATTCTTGAATCCAGAAACTCGTTTTTTGATAGGTATCTCTAGTAGATGTGATTGAATTTGAAGTTTTTTCGTTTGATTTGTTACCTGACTATCCTGTCTTCTTTCTTTTTTATCGAATGGAGGTTCATGGATAATTCTACTTGATAATTCTACTAGATTCTTGTAAACCAAAAGGCCACAGGATGGTATGTCAAACATGAAATTTACCTTTTTTGTCAACAAACATAATACCTGGTTTAGTGTTTTGCTTCCTTCGGGATGTTGCCTTCAAAGAATAATTGCTATGGAATTTATCTCTAGCAACTCTTCTGAGGCCTTACAAACTAAGATGTCCAAACAAGTGGCTGGGGCTGTGTCCACAATATAAATAAATGCATTACTTCTCCTTTTTTTCTTGGCCAATTATTGTGTTGCTTACACAGAGTCATTCTGTTGTTGCACATACTTTATGTACTGAATGTTGCCTATTAGTTTGTTCAGACCCAAGACCAAAAGAACCTTTACCTTCCATGAGTGTTTGGCTGAAATGTATAGTGTGATTCTAGAAATGTCCTGGAGTTCAGATTATCTACCTAGAAAATACAACTGTATCAAGAAATGAATTAAAAGGTGTAATGGTCATTCAAAATCTACAGATACAAGTGACATTCTTCGATGGTATGTGTTTGGGGGATGAGATCCAGGAGAAACATCAAGAATAACAATGCTAGAGCTAATAAGGAATCAAATCGATATTGGTCCATATATGCATACTAAACTCTGAGCCATGATGGTTTAAGTTTTATGTATCTATAACAAGCTGAATCACAATAAAAAATGAAATTTGATTGACATTATCTTTCTTATTCTGTAAACATGTTAGATGTTTGACCCATATGCATACTGAGAATACTGTTGCATGTAATGGAGGTTGTGGAACTGATTAGACAGTTTATCAAATTCTTGTTTCTTCATCTAGCTTTTTGTACTTAAATTTGGAAAATGGAACTGTCGGCATAAAGCTTGTAACTTCTTTTTCTGCAGGGCATGTATCTGTGTATAAGCATATTGCTTGCTTTTCCCCTCAGAATGTGCTATGTTCAAGACAGCAAAAATTTCTTTTTAATTTGTAACATTAACCAGCAAAAAGAAAATTCATGAGCATCACATATAATTAATTGTTGGAGAGAATCCACTAGGAAATATGACACAAATTCACCATCTTGTGCACTTGCTTTATTGAAGGCCATAGTGAACATATGACTCTCCTTTGAATCTAATATCTAAATGCTAAGAAAAGCTTTTCTAATTCTAACATTTGTTCGGTTATATTCATGGAGGTGTTTATTGTGGCTCAGTTGGTTGTATTTATCTTCTTGAACTGCTAGATTGTCATTTTTATGCCCATTGTAGAAATATTTTTTCTCCAAATACTCCTGCTCTCTTGCCTCCTACACCTTCCAAATGCCCTCACTGGACTTTGCATGCGCAGTTTATTTCATCAAATAAGTAAAAATTAATACTATTAGCTGCTTTGTTGTGTTTGCATGTTGAAGGTTTCATAATTACTATTAGCAGTTTTGTTGTATTTGCATGTGAAATTTAATACTATTAGCAACATATCTGTATTCGTGTCTTTCTCAGGTGGAAGGCAGGATGGTGAAAGCACAAATATGGGACACAGCAGGCCAAGAACGATATCGAGCAATTACTAGTGCTTACTATCGTGGTGCTCTTGGGGCACTCCTCGTCTATGATGTAACCAAACCCAAGTCCTTTGAGAATGCCAATCAATGGCTCAAGGAGCTACGTGATCATGCAGACTCCAACATCGTCATCATGCTTATCGGTAACAAAACTGATCTCAAGCACCTTCGTGCGATCGCCTCAGAGGATGCACAAAGCTTTGCTGAGAAGGAAGGCATCTCCTTCCTCGAGACCTCTGCCCTCGAGGCCATAAATGTGGAGAAGGCCTTTCAGATCATTCTTGCAGAGATATATCGAATCATCAGTAAGAAGCCCTTGTCCTCTTCTACAAACCTCAGGCCACGACCTATTGAAAGCATCAAAGAGGGTAACACGATTGTGGTTTCAGGGTCTGATGTTAACAATTCACAATCTCGATGTTGCTCCACATAGATGCACTACATCTTATGACTCAAAAATCAAATCTAACAGACAAATCCAAGAATGATGCTAAAGAGTCTCTTTTTATCTTCTAATTTCTCATGAGTTGTAGAGATGTCAATGTAAGCATAAAACTATAATCATATTATAGTTATGCAAAAAAAAAAAATATCAAAATCTGAAAGTAAATAATAATATATTAAATTTAGAATATATATCTCTTGATGTCATTCAGAATATATTTCTTCTGATGTGTAAATGTATTATTGTGATCTAATGTTTCATTTATGGGTAATTTTATATTTACCAATATTTTTTTATTACAAAATTGATATCTAATTTAGTATATACTTAAGCATATAATAGACTTTTAATTACGTATCTATAAAATATTTTTATTAAATTTTTTAATTCATTATTAGGACATTGATTTTGATTAAAATTTTTACATATAGTAATAGGTGTATTATTAATTAAATAAAAAATTATATATTAAATTCTTCAACGACTTGATCAATATATTCATGGCCACCGCTAAAACCAATGTAGTGCTAGTGGCTAGAGTCATATTGTCATGACTCCCTAAGATGTCGATTGACGACAAAGCAGGTCATCACCCTATGTCGTACTAATGTAGATAGTTATTCATTTTGTCGACACAAGTGATCGCTCACCAATAACCACCTATCATGGAACCCTCAACGTCACCACCCTTTGATGCCACCACACACAGCACCACTATGGCTTATGCAGTAACTACATGCAGTGTTGTCGCCTACATAGTGGCTTACTATAGGGCCAATGACCAAACAGATCACTTTGAGGTGATTACGAGATAAATAAAATAAATCAGATCACTTTGCTTATATAACACAAAACAAATCTAATACAAAATAGATCTAATATTTTTATGATTTTGGATATTTAATTTCAAAATAAGCTTTAATATTAATTATAAGTATAAAAATTATAATTATAGCAAAAAATTTAATATCAAATTTTGAAATCAAATAAAATAGACTAAGTTTAGGATGTATACCTCTCGATATTGTTCATAATACTTTTCTTTTGATCTGTAAATATACCCAAGGAAATAACGAGAGTGAGACTCGTATTCTCTTCGTTTTCTATCCACACCATTATTTATTCTTTATAAAATCATTATAAGCATGGAGTATGAACTAAGAAAAAATAAAAATAGTTTATAATTTCTATTATGCATATAATCCTATCCATTTACAACTAAGAGCAAATGATCTATTATAAATAATTAAAAGAGTTTCTTCCATTAAAATCATTCTAAACCCATAACATTCTTTTTATTTATCGACAATCCTTGTCAAAATTCAACCAAAATTTTAATATATCTTAATCAATTAAATAGATGACTACGTAATCTAATAATAAATCATTATATATATATATTGTTAATATCTTGTGAGTTTTTACTATGATTCATTGTTAACTTGTTGGATTCTGTCTTGTCGAAGAGAACAGATTTAAGATTCAATTGCGGCCTTTCGTTACAGATCGATTCGGTTTGGATCGAGCGAAAGCCCCAGATCGACCCGGTCTGAGACTTGATATTAAACGGTTCGGTTCGATAAGCCGAGTCAAGATCCGGTCCAACCGCTCTCCGTTCGCTGGGCCGGAAACGCTCGTCATATCCCCTCCGCAAACCCTAAGTCAAAACGTCACCCCACTCGTCTCTCTCCTGGCGCCGTCTCACCTCCGCTGGGAAATCCTCCGGAGACCCGTCGCTTTGCTCAGATTCTCGAATCGGATTCATTCTCGGTGCGAAAATTGTTCTCCTCTCTGTCTTTGGATTCTCTTCGCGTTAGTCGGTTGCCTCGCGTAGCATAACTGAGATGTTTTTTTGACTTTGATTTGTGCTGTGATGTTAGATCTTCCTGCTTATTTTGTCGTTCTGCTCTTCTTCTAGCTGTTGTTGGTGAGAAGGGAAAGAAGCAAGTACGTGCTGTTGTGCAATCGGTTGCAATATATGTGATGATATTATGTACTTTTATGACTGCGTTGTTGTTTGTGTGGAAAACCTGTCTGAGTTCGTGTTGGTTTGAAGTGTTGTTTCCAATTGTGGATTGGATCGACTCATACGCATAGTTGGTGAGGAAACACAGTTTCCGGATCATTCTTGGTTTGTGTTGCCGTTTTGCTTATAAATGAGATAGAATAGCACTGCGGCCTAAAAGTCAAATGAAACTAGCAATAATTGAGTGGACGAATTTTTATTGACCATCCATTTCTTTGAGGTTGGTTTCATCCAATTTACTTTGTTGATGTTATTGCTGCCATTTCCTGTACTCTGATTTTGCAACCCGGTGATTAGAACTTATATTCTTTAAGATGATGAGAAACAACCCAAACTTATCGTTTGCTTGTACTTGTTATCCGTCCATGCAGATATTGCAATTGAGCATTGCTTGATGAAACAAAAGTTGTCTGAAGAAAAATCTTTTCTTCACTATAGTTTAGATCTTTTTTGTTTGTTGGAGATCAGAAGTAGACCCTAACAATAGCTTCTTTTTTTTTGCACTGTTATTGGAGTTTTAGTTATTATGATCTTGTGTCTTTAATAGGTTAGGTTTCTTAAACAAAGTAGTTCACTTTCATTCTGTTACCTTTCCTCTTGTAACTGAGCTGCTTATTGGAGTTTTAAATTGGATGTTCTTGGTAGAAACTAGAAAGTGTGAACAAAGTTGGAAGAGATTTATATAGCCTTAGTTGTCTTGATCTTTCACATTTTGTGGTTTTTTTCTCTGTGGCGTTTTGTTACTTGTTTCTCTCAGAAAGGTCCTGTGTTTTACATTGAGTTGAGAAAGACCTTTAGAGTGATAATTATTATGTATCTCCACATGCTAATTTGTCTAAACTCACACCGTTGTATTTAGAGAAATGACCTCGAATGCTGAGGAAGGTAGGAGCTATGCCAGGAGAGACCAACTGCTTAAGATACAGTCAGAGGTCCAAAAAAGATGGGAAGCCCACAAGATTTTTGAGGCTGATGCTGGAAGTAAGTCTCCCAAGAAGGGTGAGAAGTTCTTTGGGAACTTCCCATACCCTTACATGAATGGCCTGCTGCATCTGGGACATGCCTTTACTGTTTCCAAGCTTGAATTTGGTGCTGCCTACCACAGGCTACGTGGTTGTAATGTACTCTTGCCTTTTGCTTTCCATTGCACTGGAATGCCTATCAAGGCATCTGCTGACAAGCTTGCACGAGAAGTTGAATTATATGGGAATCCTCCTGTGTTTCCTTCTGTAGAGGAGGATTCTAAAACGGAAGGTCCTGATGAGAACAAATCTGAAGAGGGTAACGTGGTTGCCCCTGATAAATTCAAAAGCAAGAGGTCTAAGGCTGCTGCAAAATCTGGTGGATACAAGTCTCAGTGGGATATTATGAGGAGTTTTGGTCTTTCAGATGATGAGATTGCTAAATTCCAAGATCCATGTCACTGGCTAAGCTATTTTCCACCTCTAGCAAAAGAAGATCTTAAGGCTTTTGGATTGGGCTGTGATTGGAGGCGTTCTTTCATAACTACAGACATGAACCCATTTTATGATTCCTTTGTTAGATGGCAGATGAAGAAGCTAAAAGACATGGGAAAGATTGTGAAGGATATGAGATACACAATATACTCTCCATTGGATGGCCAACCATGTGCAGATCATGACCGAGCTTCGGGTGAGGGTGTTCAACCGCAGGATTATGTTCTGATCAAGATGGAAGTACTCCCTCCTTTCAGAACAAAGTTGAAAGTTTTGGAAGGTAGAAGAGTATACTTAGCAGCTGCAACATTAAGACCTGAGACGATGTATGGGCAAACAAATGCATGGGTACTGCCAGATGGTGAGTATGGTGCCTTTGAGATCAATGAAACCGATGTTTTTATTGTAACATACCGAGCTGCTTTGAACCTTGCATATCAGAATCTGTCACGGATTCCGGAGAAGCCAACTTGTCTGCTCGAGCTGTCTGGTCATGATCTTATTGGTTTGCCCTTGAGGTCTCCTCTCGCCTTTAATGAAGTCATTTACTCACTTCCGATGCTTACAATTTTGACAGATAAGGGTACGGGCATTGTTACCAGTGTGCCCAGTGATTCACCGGATGATTACATGGCATTGAATGATTTGAAACTGAAACCTGCTCTGAGATCAAAGTTTGGAGTCAAAGATGAGTGGGTTCTTCCATTTGAGGTTATACCAATCATTAATATTCCAGAATTTGGAGACAAATCTGCAGAGAAGGTGTGTGTTGATCTTAAGATCAAGAGTCAGAACGACAAAGAGAAGCTTGCAGAGGCAAAAAAGCTAACCTATTTGAAAGGATTTACTGATGGTACAATGCTGGTAAGGGATTTTAAAGGAGTGAAAGTTCAGGAAGCAAAGCCATTGATAAGGAACAAACTTTTAGAAACAGGAGATGGAGTGATGTACAGCGAGCCCGAAAAGAAAGTTATGTCTAGGTCGGGTGATGAGTGTGTTGTGGCTCTAACGGATCAGTGGTACATTACTTATGGTGAGGCTGAGTGGAAGAAGGAGGCAGAGGATTGTTTAGCCCACATGAATCTCTACTGTAAAGAAACAAGAAACGGTTTTGAGCATACACTAAGCTGGCTGAATCAGTGGGCATGTTCACGGTCTTTTGGACTTGGTACCCGTCTTCCCTGGGACGAGCAATTCCTAGTTGAATCACTTTCTGATTCAACTCTCTACATGGCCTTCTATACCATTGCTCATCTTTTGCAAGGTCCTGATATGTATGGCTCTGATCATTCTTCTGTGAAGCCTGAGCAAATGACTGATGATGTCTGGGATTATGTCTTTTGTGGTGGTCCACTTCCAAAAACTGACATCCCTGTATCTCTTCTTAACAAGATGAAGCTAGAATTTGAGTATTGGTACCCATTTGATTTACGTGTATCTGGTAAAGATCTTATACAAAACCACCTCACTTTTTGCATTTATAACCATACAGCACTTTTGCCGGAACATCATTGGCCTCGTGGTTTCCGGTGCAATGGTCACCTTATGCTGAATTCTGAGAAGATGTCAAAATCAACTGGAAATTTCAGGACCCTTCGTCAGGCCATAGAGGAATTCTCCTCTGATGCCACTAGATTTTCCCTTGCAGATGCTGGTGATGGAATGGATGATGCAAATTTTGTTTTTGAAACAGCGAATGCTGCAATTTTGAGGCTCACTAAGGAAATTGCCTGGATGGAAGAAGTGTTGGCTGCTGAGTCAACTTTGCGAGTTGAACCCCCTACTACTTATGCTGATTTTGTATTTGCCAATGAAATAAATATTGCAGTCAAGTCAACTGAACAACACTACAATGATTTCATGTTCAGGGATGCTTTGAAGTCAGGTTTTTACGACCTTCAGGCTGCCAGAGATGAATACAGGTTCTCTTGTGGAGCAGGAGGTATGAACCATGACCTGTTATGGCGGTTCATGGATGTTCAGACTAGGCTCATTACTCCAATTTGTCCACACTATTCTGAGCATGTTTGGACGAATATTCTGAAAAAGGATGGCTTTGTAATAAATGCTGGTTGGCCCCTGCATGATGCCCCTGATCTTACCCTTAAGATTGCTAACAAGTATTTGCAGGATTCAATAGTGTTAATGAGGAAGTTGCTCCAGAAGCAAGCATCCGGTCCTAAGAAGGCTAAAAAAGGGATTGCAGTTCCTGTAGCAGAAGAAAACAAATTGACAATAGGTCTTATATATGTAAACGAGCAATTTGATGGTTGGAAAGAAGAATGCTTGAGGATACTTCAAAGCAAGTTTGATGGAGATCGACGTGCATTTGCACCTGATCAGGAAATACTGGAAGCATTAAAACAGAGTGCTGTTGGACAGGCTGCAAACTTTAAGCAGATCCAGAAACTCTGCATGCCTTTTCTAAAGTTCAAGAAGGATGAAGCATTGTCTGTTGGTCCACAGGCCCTGGAATTGAAACTGCCTTTTGGTGAAATACAGGTTCTTCAGGAGAATTCTGACTTGATAAAGAGGCAACTGGGTCTTGAACAGGTTGAAATCCTGTCTGCATCAGACGAGGTTGCACGAAGCAAAGCAGGTCCACATGTATCATTGCTGACTCAGAATCCCCCTTCACCTGGCAACCCTATTGCCATATATATGAGCAAGTTGGAGTATTCTACGGCGGAACTTCACATTGTCTCCTAAATAAGCATTCCGGGAAATTTTTGCTACGAAAGACTGCTAGAGGTTTGCATTTCATTTCTGTATTTGTTTTCCAGATTGAAATTCATAGCTTTTATAGTCTGGAGCTTTCATGTTATGACTACTGATAATGTTTGTTTTCTCATATTAATAACATGGTTGCTGAATTTTTATGTGTATCTTTTATTGTAAAAGTACATTATAGATGCTGTCTTATGGTATGAATATCATCTACATTTCAGCAACACTTGTTATGATTACTTAACCACAAATGTGGAAGCATATGCCCAATTACGCTCTGCTGTTTCTGATTTGTACAAGCTAAATATACTGCATATTTGGATTATATTTCGTTACTTATTCTTATTCCTGTTATCCATCTCTTATCGAGTATCACTTCAGTAGGTTCTTAAATGATTATAAATATTTTGTCATACTTGATAAAACTCTGAATATGGCCAAAGCTTAATCGAACCTCTTTTAATTCTAAATGCTTTTTGCTTTTAGATGATAGGCTATTGTGTGAATGTCTGATTATGAATGACTGCTTTATGGCCGGTACCTGTACCATTCATTACAATTACTTTCTAGAACATTATTAATGACACTTGATTTTGAAGTACACCATTCTCAAAATATTACCTAGATTCAAGCCAACTTTAGCAGACACTGTGACTAAAAATATAAAATGTTAGTTTCACGATTTTGGAAATATTTGTACTCGGATAAATTTTCAAAAAGGCAAGGCATACAATCTGGCGTTACTTTTTTTTTTTTCGTTAAAGAACTTCCAAAATTAGTTTTTCAATTTTGGAAATAACACGAGCTGCCAACCAAAATTAGTCATACTAAGAGCTATCTTGTTTACATTTCTATCCATATAATCAAATTGTACCGCACTAACATTTTGAACAGACTTCAAAACATCAGCTATAATGAACCTTAGGCGCTAGGAAACTCTGCTGGTATCATTAATAGAGTAGTTCCTCCAGTCCTTGATTCACTCTGCTCAATCACTGTATGATGATGCATTGTGCCAATAAAGAATGCAAAAGAAAGCTATTATGGTGATGCATCTCTATCTGCATCTAGTTCTAAAGATTGTAATTTAACTTCCCGAATTGTAGTCCTATGTTAATTTTCTGCTTATGTCTTTTTTATCAGTGCATGAAAAAGAATTTTCACCAATCCAGAATTGGATGGGTTGTTGGTAATACCTGCGTGAAATTTGGTTCCTGCATGCTGGCTTCGCCTATTTATCCCTACACCTGACCAGCCATATCCATGTTCTCTGGATCTATTAAAATGCACAATGGATTTGTTTTAATCTTTGCAACTATGGAGCTTTGGGGTATGTTTTTGTGTTGGCAGTGCAAGTATTGGTTAAAGATTGGCTCTTGTAAATTAGAGCTTACTGCAGTAGGTGTGTATTTAGGGCTAACAATTAAGCTTTTATAAGTTCGAAGTTTTTTTTTAAATTTAATTGTGTTATGGATCCAAATAAAATCCTTTTTGTGTTATTATCCGATTTATGAGTTATAAAGTTTCTTGCATTCAAATGCTTGTGATGCAGAACATAACCTACGTTTTTACGCGGTAACCGACTGATATTATCATTATTATGTGATCCAATGATTATGTTAGCCTTCACTAGAAAAATAGTAACATTTTCGAGGGAGATTTAACTCTCTCCTTACTAAATCCATTATATATGCATACATTTTGAAAAGAAAGAAGTGTGTATATAATGGATTTTTTTAGAGTGATAAATGTATATCATTATGTATGTATGAATGTTCCATTGAGTTTGGTACTCTGAACGGATTATTGGTGATAAGCTGGAGAAAGATAACGATGACATCAAGTTATCATGCCCCCTTATGACTTGGACGAGACACGTGTGTTATGATTACAGGTTGGTCTAAACCCAACAATTCATCCTCGGTTTGGATTACAGGTTGCAACTTGCCTGTGTGAAATAGGAATTGTTAATAATCATCGATCAATCATACGACGATATCTTTTATTGGAAAGATTTTTTAAATTTTTTTCTCAAACAATGCTCTAATTTAAAAAGTATCTAAATTCTCTTAAAAAATTATTTATACTTTGGTGCCCATTATAATATAGTTTACTTGTTATATTGTTTCAATCATCATGAGAAAAATCTAATTATAAATATTATAAATAAATCAAATAAAATTAAAACATACCAAACAAATATTTGATACTAAGATTTAAATAGATATTTATATTAATTTAAAAATAATATTTAATGTTTGAGTCATATATATTGAATTACAACTAATATGTGAATAAAAGTATAAATAATATGTATATGTTACCCTCAATTCATAATTTGTGATGTCTATGATTTACGAATATGATAAATTACATGTTTATGTTTTTGATTTTTAAGATTGAAATATATTTTTTTAAAAAATATTATTATATAAAAATATCTTATATGCATACATACGAATATGATAAATTACATGCATAGATATATTATTAATATATTTTACAACGATGTAAGAATACACATATATTCTATTTTATGTGGAGAGTGTTGAATTTCGGATTTTGATGATAAAGTCAATTGTCATTTATTATCTAATCTATATGTTGAGATAAGTATGCAGGATTAACTATGATAAAAATAAGATATGCAACAGGAGTTGCGCCGGAGTCAAGACAATGATCACGTTGGGAGTTCGAGAGTTCGACGGAAGTTCGGACAGTCGTCGGAGGTTCTACGGGAACAAATCCGAGAAGTCCATGAGCTTGCCAAAGAAGCACGTCGGAACTCGCTAAGTGGATCGTCGCAAGTCCAGGAGTTTGTCGGAAGTCCGCAGGAGCATCACCGAGGGTTCATCGGATGATCGACGGAAGTTCGCCGGAAGCTCGCCGGAAGAAGCGATTGATGCACCGGAGCAAGTTACAGTAAATATCTTAGGAAAAATCGTAGTTAGAACAATGATTAAGTTGAAAATGGGAGGTGATCCCATTAACTTAATCTTGGGGCAATTGGGCCCTTGAAAAAACCCAAATTGGGTCGAATGGATCAACCTATTCGGACCCTGATTTCTGCCAGGCGGTTCAACCGCCTCAGTCAGGCGGTGGCACCGCCTGAGCTCAGTCTTAGAGCTCTGGCAGGAGGTGCAACCACCCCTGATAGAGGTGGCACCGCCTGGG